CATTGCAAAGCAGTCAGCTTTAAGGCTGCATGCTCTAAATCCTAGAAATGGTCTTTACATAAGATGCAAAGTGCATGGCCCTGAATTTTTGATCTGCACAGTTAATAAGATTGTATTTTCTGATGTGGTTTTGTGTGCACAGGTCATTTCTCCTCTTGCATATAAATTAAAATATTTGCTCTGCTCTTCAAAATATATTCAGTTGTTATAAACCAGGAAATAATGCCTAGGAAAGAAAGAAGAAACAGAAGTAACTTTTTCTATGGTGGATTTGGAGTCTAGACAGTGTACAAACAGGCTAAAGAATATAGGCTACAGAAAGCATGACAGGAGAAGTCCAGTCAGTAGCTGTCCATACCATGACTTTTGTTGGCTTTTAAAAATGTTCCTTGGGGAAATACTTTGTCCTGTTCTTCCTTATTCCGAAGTTTACACTCCTTAATAAGATGTGTCTTCAACTTAGTGTATTGAAAAGATACTTAGTGAAAAAATGAGATAGGGCATTCTTTTTTCCTCCTTTTTCTTTCTCCTATATTCCAATCTCATATTCAGCCTAACTCTTACAACAGACTTATTACAACTTGGTACTCTCTTGCCTCCTGTGTCTCCAAGGCATATAAATCCTTTCAGCTCTATCACCTCCATGATATTGCCGACATACAACACTCTTGATCAATCCACTGTGAAAATTCCTGCTGCTGCCTTCATTTCCTCCTGCTTGGACTGCTGTAATTCACAGCTCTCAGGTGCTTAACTGCTGTAATGCTCTGTAGGTTTGGTAGTAGTGCAGTACGCTGTCATAACCTGACGGACGTATTCTGAACCATGACTACTGTGTGCTTTAATTTCTAAAATCTGTGGTAACTTGTTCCCTTTATCTGTATCTGAAGACTTGAATTTGTTAGTATGTGTTTACTGGGTTCCTCCTCCTAAATCAGCTTGCATTGATAATAGTTAATTGCTCCCCTGGCCTCAGATGTAGTACCATTCAACCTCATCTCTGTCTGCTACGATAGATTTTTCATTTGCTTTTAATTCCAGATTCTTCCCTCTTCAAATCAAAGATTCCATGGGCAAAATTGCTTAAAAACCAGGACTATTAAGTGGGTGGAAATTCAATGGATGCGAAGGAGTTGAACATGAAGAAAGATCATATTTTTATAAATGCAGAAATTGATGCCATTTAGTTCTGCTGCCTGAGAGCTGATTAAAGTAATTGAAGTTGATCACAATTAGACCTTCACATTTGTATTGCTTTGAACTGAAGCAGTTTTATTTAAATTCATCATACATTATTCCTTCGCATGTACTGTTAGAAGACTGCATAATTTACAAGAAAGAAAACAAGTCACTGAACATAATGGGCTAAACTTCTAACAATACCCTCGAATTTCACACCTGCAATTAATCACCCACACTCAATTGCAGACATAAACGTTAACATTTACACATGTAACTGCATACGGGCACAGGGAGACAAAACCTTTCAGTATTACCACCCACATTAGGTTTCAGGAAAGAAATACTTTTCTTATAAGAGCCAGGTAAATTACTGTTCCATAGCATCAGGGTGGCAGAATACCGAGAGCACACTAGCCCTATGTTTTAATGTTTTTTTATGATAGAAATAGCGAAGTACAAAGCTGGTGAAATATGTGTGTTGTAGACTTGATTTATATACAGCTGTAAAGCGTTTTTAGGGCCAGATCTTTGTTCCCCTGAAGTTGAGTGTGAGTTTTGCCTTTAGCTTCCCGAGAAGGAGTGGTTGGCTGGGGGTCAGGAGTGGCTGTGTGTTCCACCCCGTGCTGCAGCTGGGGATGCAAACCACAAGGGTGTGAAAGGACCAGGAAGGGCTCTGTGACCACAGGGCTCCCGTAAGAGGATTTTTCTATTTGCAGCACCAGAAATGGTGTAATGGTTGTCAGTGCTCTGAGAAGCCATTTGGAAAAAAAAAAAAAAGGGTGCATTGGCGTATGTGGCACAATCACTGTAACAGTGATAATTCTTCTGAAATATAGCAAATCTCAAGCATCCCGTGCAGAAGTGGAGAATTCCACAGGGTGCTTAAAAACAAACAAACCCCAACAAAGAAAACAACCGCATCTAACTGAAATAACACATGTATCTTTTGGGCTGTCCGTCATGTTAAAATTCTGATGGAAATAACTGAGGAAGAATTTAGAGTCTCTGGGTCTAGAGTAAGTTTTAGCTTTATAATTTGCCTTGGCACTTTTTCCATGGTTTCCCTTTCCCCACTTCTATGCTTTTCAGCCTTCCCAAGCCATGTTTTTGTTCATTTGGTTTTAATTCAGTCCCAGTTCAGTATCTGAATGCCAGAACGATTCCTCTATGGGCAAAGAAGTGAGCGTGTGATGGAGGCACTGAACGATCCTTGAGGCTGTGTTTGTACGAGTAAGAGAAGGAGCCAAGGGCTGTTCTGGGGCCCTAAGGCCAAATGACCTGGCACAGCTTTTGTCTATGAAGCTAAATTCATTTACATCCTCAAAACAGGATGACCTCATCCAAACTTATTGCTAGGAATAGTCCTTGGCCTGTCCTGCTTGGTCTTTTTTGAAACCATACCTAAAACTCTGTCAGATGTCTATCTGTACAGGAAGTCACGTGCAGATCCCTGCCTTGACCTGTCTATGGGTCTCACCTTTCCAACCTGGACCAGATGCGGGTGATGGCTGGTACAGGTCTCCTCTATGACTCCCGCCAGCTTTCCAAAGCTCCATTAAGGTCTTCAGGCATTGTACTTGCATAGGTAGGCTGATGGAAAAAACACAAGGTTGATCTTCTTCAAGAATAAGTAGAAAATGAAAGCAGTTGAGGAGGAGAAATCCCTTAAGTATCTCCAATAATGACAAACTAGAGAACTCAAGATGCTGACTCTTTTAATGTATACCTATTTTTGTAAGTTATTTTCTTCTGAGATATTTGTAAATTTAAGTGAAAACTTCCACAATGGAATATGCCAGAGAAGAGCCAAACCCAGCACAAATTATTTTGTTATTGGAGAGCTGTAAAATTGAAGGTAAAATTGGAGAGCTGTAAAATTGAATGGAGAAAACTGTTCTGTTTATCAAATACTTATTTAACCAGTCCACCCCTTGTCCAAAGAGCAAGAGTTTCACACTTGAGCATCCAGTTGACTTGACTTTTGGAGGCTGTTGAAGCAGCACAGTTGTGTAGCAGTTATAACATAGCCATGCGGTGGTTTATTCCTTGGCCCTGCTGGACACGGAGAGGGAGGTCTCTGGTGCAGTCCTGGCTGCTCAGGCAGTCTCCAGTTGGGTCTCAAAATTTGAGGATAGAGACCTCAGCCTCTCTGGCCAGGGACCCTCTTCTAGTGCTGAATCAGCTTTGTAGCGAAAATATTGCCTTAGGTCCAGCCAGGACCTCTCCAGCTTCAGCTTGTGACTGCTGATTCCCCCTCTCCTGCCCTGCACATGGGGACAGAGCCTGCTGCTGTCTTTCCGGTAACAGTGGGCACTGGGGGTGGCTACATCCTTGTGTAACCTTCTCTTCTTCAGGATAAACAAGCCAGTTCCCTCAGCCTCTCCATATACATATACCTATGTATTGGCAAAACCTATTGGTACAGTAAATATTTATTGAAATATTTTAAGGGGTGTGTTGATTTCTGTCTCTCCCCACGTATGTTTAAAAAAACCCCAAATAACTTAAAAAAAATTTCAGATATGTTCTGTTTTAAATTTTAAAATCACCTGATGGCTTTAAAGTATTTAATGCTTTCTAGAAATTAGTGGGGGTTTATGCTTTCTAGACTAGTCAGTGCCTTAATGCCACGTTCAGCTAAAGAGTATTGACTCCCTAAGGTTTGTGTAATGCTTTGTGCATCCTTTAAAACCCAGCTGAGGGAAGGTGATGCAGCGTGTTGAAAGTCACCCCAGGTTTTCATAGGCTTCTGAAAGCATCTTGTGTACATCCAGCATATTGGTCTAGTCTGATCTACTGGTAACACAAGAAGACTCAAGCATAGCTGGAAAGAAGGGGAGGAACTCATGTGTTTCTGTTTGGAAATGGCCATTTTGTGCCTGGGATCAGGCTTCCCTGCCCCATGGCTACCATTGCCCTGTTGCAGCCTCTAATCATCACCTATATTTGTTTTCTCCTGCCACCCATTTTCTTTGTCAGCCAGACTTACTGTGGTTTTTTTTTCCTATTTGATGCCATGTGGTTGCAGAGGAATCTCACTCTGAAGGAAGTATTTCTTTAAAGTAGTTATTTAAAACAGAATTCACACTGCTTTTTAGATGTATTTAATATAGCTAAAAAGAAAATACGTTAGCCTTGTTTGTCATTCAGCAGTTATAGCTACGTGCAAGACTACACTGACAAGGTAATTAAGTCCGTCACAGGGACTAGCTGCAATCTGTACATTTCTTGCTTTGGGCTGTGCATGCATGCAATGGTCACATTTATTTGTGTTGGTAGGGTTCTAGCTCCTTGGAGAGAGATGGAGATTAAAACCCCCTTAAGTCCTTAACTTGTACGGATCACCGTGCCACCAAACCCTTTTTCAAATTAAATACTAAATTAAACTCTGGGGAGTCTTTTAGAAAATACATTAGGTGAGAATATCCTGCAGCACTTTTCTCATCTACATGTGATGTGGTCTCCAAGGTAAAAGGGAAAAGTAGCTTAAGGCATGAACTAATTTGGCTTAATGTATATGGCTTGTCCAGTCATGGGAGGTCCACTTGATTGAGATAATAATTGACAGATGAACAAGTAATGTTAAAGACAGGTCTAATCGATCTTAGATGCTTGTTACAATAATTACATTGTCAGTAGCTGAGTCGTCATTTAAAAAATTTTAGACAGCTTAGGTAGCAGAGTGTTGTTGTATTTATTACGTGTATGTGCATTTGCTTCTACAACACAAACAGATAACTTTAAAACAATCATGATTTTTGAATGAATAAGTAATAGTTTCCCTGGCTTCATTTTTTATCTGTGTTGTTTCTCTGCAGGTCAAGGCAACAGATGCAGATGCTGACCAGTTTGGTGAAATTGAGTATTTTCTGTATGATGGATTTCATTACTATGAAAAATCCAAAGCCTTCCAGATTGACCCACGTACTGGTCAGATCTGTGTGTCTCAAGACATTGACAGAGAAGGAGATCCAGCCACTTATGATCTCTTAGTAAAAGCTACAGATGGGGTAAGTTTCTCCTTCCCATACTGCCAGGTTTGTGAATTCATTTGCAAATTTGGATGTGCTGTATACTTTTAAATGAGAATGCAATGACTATGTAAAAATTGCTTGAATCTGAATAAAATTTCTTACCCCTACAGAGGGCATGAACCATAAATTTTGACTCAAATTGATAAAATTGGCTGTGAAATCCCCAATTACTCTTAAACAAGTTGTTGATAACCACTTCTAGGATGTGTTAGTCCCTGCTGGTTTTCCTCCTCTTGGAAACAATGGGCTCCAGGTTACCTCTGCTCGCCTCTTCCAAGATGACAGCAGCAGGAACAAACCCACAACTTGTGCTAGAGCTGCGTGGCGACTGTGGGTGCCACAGTAAAATTCCTTGTCCTTACTAGTCAGCTGATGCCATTGCTGCTGCTGTGGCTGGGTACAGCCTGCCTGCAGCAGCGTGTCTGAAAGTTTTCCCACTTTACAAGATCTGGTTCTTAGAAGTGGGTATCCATGACACAGCAAGGGCAGGGGTAGTTGTATGTCATGAAAAAGTCTGTTTCAGATTTTGGTTTGGCAAGGAGGAGACATTAGTTGTGGAGGGAACACGTTGAAATGTCTAGGTGTGGACACTTGATCTACCAGGTGCCACGTAACAAGAAGATTTTGGTAGCGTGCCTCCTGAAAAAGAATGGAAGAAAATAATTCCTGGGTTGATTTTATTATGAAAGTATCCAAAGGTGATTTGCAATGAGAGGCCCAGGAGTCCAGCCGGTACTTTTCTAAAATTTCTTCAGCTTTAGAGGTCAACTGTGAAGAGGTTGAATAAAAAGGTTACTGGTTGGTTGCAGATGTTATATTTAACATTTTAAAAAAGTGTCCTTATGTTATTCAGGTCACATTTTGCAGCACGATTTGAAGTGAAAAGCATTGAAATTAAATTATTTCAGGCTCTACAGTTTTTATTTCACACTTTCAGTATTAACCTTGCATTTTAGATATTGTCCTAAGTGCATCTAAGTTAAAAAAAATACAGTGGTGATATAAATACTGTATTTTTCATTAAAATGTCTATGCTTTTTGTTATAGTACACTGAAGAAACTTGGACTCTGACTTCCATATTCATGAGTAGATGAACTTAAATAACTGCAGTTGATGCTTCGTATTTTTGAGAACGTAGGAGTTGAGTATACATTTGTATGCTGTTGAATCTAGATATATGTGTAACAGTTAAGCAATTCATCTGCTTCTTTTCTTTAGCTATCGCTATTCAGTGTTTATTTCAGAAGCAGCAGCAGCATTCTCTTGTGTTAATAGTGCCTTCAGCAGTATGCCCTTTCTTCATAGATTTCTTTTGAGGAGAAACAATGAGATAAGAATATGTATTTTTTTTTGTTTGTATGTTTGCTTCCTGACTCTAACTTGTTTGAATGTCTAATAATTAAGAATGTAAGTCTTTCAGTTAGCATAGCATCTGTCAGCTTTCAGCAGACATAAGCCTATGTGCCCATTTTGGAATTTCTTTAATTGGTGATTTCTGCCTTAAATTGTTTTCTTAGCAAAATTTTGTGGCATACACTTGAGTACAGATTTCCAAGCCTTGAAGAATAAAGCAGCAGTATTACAATATATAACAGTAGAAAATTACATATTCTGCTATGTAATTCATCAATAAGTTCATAATTACTTTTTTTTCCCTCACATACATGGTTTGAAGCTGTATAGATGTAAAGAGCACACACACATATCTGGAAACCTAAGATTAGTTTTATTAATATAGGTGAAGTTGAGAGCTGAAAAATAGGAGTGAAGTTCTGACAAGTTTCTTAGCTATCCAGTTTGGTCCAGAAGATTATTTTGAAAATGTGAACGAAAATAGGTTTATATGAAAAAAAAACTTGATGCATTTTTTGGCTAAATTATTGCTCCAGTGATAAATCTTGCATCAAAAGTTAAAGGAAAACAGCCAATGCACTGAAACTATAGATTATTTCATTTTTAAGTAGGTCTGTCATTTATCCTCATTCAGCAACCTTGTGTTTTCAGAAGTTCAATAATGGGGAGAGGGGGTTCAATTTTTGATTGCCTTGTCTGTGACAGGCAGGACTTGATATTCTCACTGGAACTCAGCACTTTGTAGATCCTATTGATTTCTCCTCTAAAAATTAGCTAATGTAACACCTAAATGCTAAAGCACCTAAAGTCAATATAAGCTTTTCAAAGTGTTCAGTATATCTGAACTTATGTGTAGCCATTCCACCTTTACAGCAGAATTGTAGTAGGATATTTTGTCTCCTGACATACAGCTGCTGAGTTTGATGGATTAAAGATGTCAGATGTGGGGTTCAAAGTAGGGGCTGTGATCAGGGGAGAAGTGTATGCAGAAAAGAGAGAGGAAGAGTGAAGGGTCACTGTTGACAAAGGGAAGGGAGAGAGATGAAGAGGAAAGAAAATAACAATGTTAATTAAAAGTGAGGAGGAAAAAAAAAAGCATTTTCCAGGTGGTGCTCAGTTTATCTTACAGCAAAACTCTCAGTTTCCTCCTTATGTGTAGCCACTCCACCTTTACAGCAGAATTGTAGTAGGATATTTTGTCTCCTGACATACAGCTGCTGAGTTTGATGGATTAAAGATGTCAGATGTGGGGTTCAAAGTAGGGGCTGTGATCAGGGGAGAAGTGTATGCAGAAAAGAGAGAGGAAGAGTGAAGGGTCAGTGTTGACAAAGGGAAGGGAGAGACATGAAGAGGAAAGAAAATAACAATGTTAATTAAAAGTGAGGAGGAAAAAAAAGCATTTTCCAGGTGGTGCTCAGTTTATCTTACAGCAAAACTCTCAGTTTCCTCCACCTGTTCGTGCCTACTCCATTACATGCTTTTGGAGCTTGTTGGTCATGTCTTTTATGCATTGTGTAAAAAGCGTAATGGGAGAACTGAAACTGCTCATGAAAGGCAAGTGGAAACCAGATTCTGTTAAACTGGTGTTAGATAAAAATCCTGTGAGAGCTTATGGGAGTGCCCTCGTTAATTCAGTGGGGACAAGACTGTTCATAATGTTAGTGTTAGCCTTTTCAGCTGGCAGCACTGATTTTGGTCCCAAAGTCACATACATATTTGGTGATACTCCTTGAAATGCCTTTATATGAAAAGAAATCATGTGTCTAGGTTTATAGAAAAGTGTTTGCACTGAATCCCATAGCACCTGTGTCTCTCTCCTGGGGTCTCTGTTGGGACTGTGGCAGACTGAGAGCTCCAGTAGTGAGGGTGACCCTCCTGTGATTCACATGACAGCTCTGCCTGGGACACCCCCTGCTAAAACAGCACCCTTGGTCTCAACAGTTGTATTTCTGTACTTGTAACAGATCAGAGACAGTTTCAGTAGGCATTTGGGGTGTCTTTGAATTTACAGTCAGATGACATTTCTTATAATGATGATAAAAAAGTATTTTTTCTCTCTCTCTGGAAAAAAAGGGAAGTTTGATGAAGCTATGTTGCTTGGGGAACCTTCACAAACACTTGAGAGAGATTTAGAGAGGCATACTGTGAAATCAGCTCTTGTAAAGAGGAAAATATAGGAAAACGGGAATTCTAATAAAAGTATTTGCATGTTCTCAAAAGCAGTATGGGGATAAAATTGCTACTTTTTATTTTTAATATGTGCAAATTAGGTCTGATATGTTATAGTTCTTTTGTTTGGCTGTTTTGTTTGCTTTCACAACGTGACTGAAATGGACACACTGTTGTGTGTTTTTCACTATTTGCTTGGGGGGGTCTCCAGACTACTACATATGTAAATTTATGCTTCATTTATGCTTGTTTTGTGTACTTCTGCTTTAGAGAGTCTTAACGTGAAATCATTTTCATACAGGAAACTTTTTTTTTAGCAACACTCATTTTTTTTCTGCTGTACAGTGGCAAATTTTGTTGCTATGTATCATGCATAATTCAATCTTTTTGTTAATTCATTTCCATTTTTTATGATGCCCATCATATCTTTCTCTCCCTTTCTCTTTCAACAAAATAAACAATAATGCCTGCAGCTGTTAAAGTAAACCTGTCATGATCCAGAGAAATTTAATTGGAATAATGTTAATTTAAATTCTCTCTTGTGGCATCTGTACTATCTGCTTACCGACAATTGTCTGCCCTTCAAAGCCAAAATCTGAGTTGCATAATCTTGTGGTGGCTGCACAATGAGGGATGTTCAGGAGTGTCCAACCTTGACTCTGGAAGGAGCTGGCCACACAGTTTTCTTCAAAAACTGGGGAAGATGGGATGGCCTATGCTTGTGAGAGCTGCTACTAGGCATAGACCAATTCCAGCCACAAACGTCTCTGTAGGTAACACAGTGCATGCACCAGCATGCCATCTCTTTTCATCAGTGTGGCAAGAAGTTTTGAAAATTACAGAGCACGGGCAGGGTGTTCTACCACTCCTTGTCCCCCACAACTATAAGGAGTGCCACACCACGGCTGTATACCCTACTGTGTAGGGTATTATCAGACAAAACCCATGGAAATATTTTTTGTCGGGGAATGATGGAGAGAAGCAGAAGAGCAAGCAGCCTGCCTTGGCTCTGGAGTGTGGGCATAGAGCCCTGCACTCCTTGGGCAGACCTGACTGTCTGACCTGGGGATGCATCACAGAGGGACACTAATCCTATATGTTCATCTGCTAATCTGGGATGCTCCTTCCCATGTCCTCCTGTTAGAAGCTGCTGGTGGACAGGAACACAGTTGCAGAGCTACTTCTGTGTGTGCAGGCTACGGGGCACGTCTGGTACTCGTGTTGAGAGAGTGCTGGGAAGATCCTGTGAGTGCCACAAGGACTTACAGGGTATCTGCTGTGGCTGAGGTGGTTCTGTGCAGCACAGTATGAAAGTGCTTTTGAAAGCAGGGAGGTGGTCTGCAGACCTGCAATGCAGGCAGTTTCGCCTGAGTGAAACAGCCTCCCAGTGGTGTATTGAACCTTTTGCAATGATTATGCAGCAGCTGAAACACTGAAGACCTGGCATTCCCTATAAAAGAAACAGGAATGTTTCTTTTCATCGCCAGTTGATTAGTATTAAGATAATGAGACTAAAAACTGCTGTTTTTTCTAGTTTTCTGTCTTTGTGAGTCTCAAGTCTTTTTATCCTTTTCTGGAAGTTGTTTTTTTTAAAAAAAAAATCAGTGTTGTTGTATGCTGAAAACTACTTCAAAATGCACTTGTAGAAACTAAAATAAGAAACTAAGAATTTTAAATACAGTGTTTTAAAGTAGATCATAGGTTGCATCTAATTGCACATACAAGTGCATCTGATATAATATGAAGGTACCGCTATATAGAGGGTTGTGATCACATCTGTACTGTATGCTCAAGATTATCACTTACTGACTTTACTTAGGATGATTTGCTTGCTTACACAGATGGGTGTTACCACTTGTTAGGAAGCAGTCTTTCAAAATTCAGCTTAAATGCTTTGAGAATGTTTGCATAGGCAATTAAAGTGCACATATGCAAAAAATTAAAAAAGAGAGAAAAGACTGAGCTTTAGCTTTAAGTATTTTGGAAAAACCAACCTTGCAGTCACAGAACACTTTGCTAAATCTGCCTTTCAGTATTAACTCTGATACTACACCTGCATTTCTTCAAAACCATGTCTTTTGCATGTAATTGCATGTAATGACTTTCAAGGTCTGTTGCTTAGAATTGGAACAAGGGACAAGCAGGTGAGCAGTTCACCGGAATAGTAAGAGTATTTTTTCTTTCATGAAGGTGTGTTTTCTTTTAAAATAAGAAAAAAATTCCTAATTTCATGTGATGAGGTTAAGTTTAAGTTTTATCATGGAAAGAAGAGACCAGGCTTGGGCTTCAAGGCTGAAGTGCAATTTTGGGGTGAATTTATAGTGTATTCTGAGCTCTTTCAACTTCACCTCTTACATCACTTCCAGCAGATTTTGAAATTGCCCGTCAACGTAGAGTATGAAGTTAGCACCTTTTATGTCACTGCTCATTTTTAAACAGGTACTGGAATAATTCATTAAACATGTAAACTCTGCAAGTTACATAGATTGGTATTTATTTAGATTCTGAAGAACTTCTAATTATACTGAAAGCTTAGTGACTCTCTTACTGCTTTTCTGCATAGAAAAATACTTTGTCCTTCATCTCCTTCTTCTTGGTAAACTACACTGCTGTCCCATTTTCTTTGTCTTTTACACTGAAGCCATTGAAATGTAGAGATAAGAGCTCAACACTCACAGGCAAAGCTTCTGAAGAAGTTGAGGCTTTTGCAATAATTTATGGTGTCTCTTCATTTTGGCAGCATTGCGACTTCAAGGCAACATATCTTTTAGGTTTAACACCAAAAAAAAAAAAGAAAATATGTCTTCGTGTCAGAAATGCTGTATATCACAGTTTAGTTTGGAACAAAAATTTGACAGCACAATTCACTGACAAAATTGTTGGAGGCTGTCATGAAAATCTTGATGGATTCTTAAGCATTCTACAGCATCAAGATGAAGAAATGCAGCTATTTGAAGTAGCACCATTTCTGTTTATTAACCTAAAGAGTCTCTCTTGCCAAAGGCAGCATAATTTAATTTTTTTTGAGGCATGATAAAGAGGTGTACTAATAGCTTTATATTTTCACACAAATTTGGTCCTGCCAAAGTAAAGAAAATACTACCTACTGTTATTTTGATTTAGTGGTAATTTCCTGTGTCCCCTTTTTGTTCCATGGGAGACACAACTCTCAGGATTCTGACGAAGAAGCTGTTGTAATTGTGACTTGTGCTGCATCAAAAAGCACAACAGTAGTTAAAAATACTTGAACATCTGAGAAAAGGGATTTTAAAATTAACAACTGTGCCTTTCTGTTGCTTGTAACATGTTTTGACAAGTGTAATTTTTTGTTAGCAACAGACTTGTTTAAATCAGCCTTCATGTTTTGGAAGATGTACTACGTGGTGCTTGCTTCTGAGTAGCTGAAGTATATCCATGTGGTTAGAAAGAGAAGCAGTTTGTTCCTTCTCACCTGGGATAATACTTAAAAATTTTCATAGCCAGAGCAAGAACTGTAACATAACCAGTTAATATCATAAGTTAATATTGTACTTGACTCATGTGAGGAGATACCTTGCTTATTCAGGAGAAGAGGGATCTGTTTCCATCATAAATTTGGTTCATCTTCTGAGAGATTAGATAGCTAGTACATCTCCAACTTGCTTCTCCTATATACTTTGAATTAATGCATTTACAAAGCCTTTGTAGTCTTTACATAACTCCATAGGATAAATACAAATTGGCCGGAGGTTGTTTTTTTTTTCTTCATGTCAGTTTAGCAATAATAAAACTTGGAAGAAGCAGCTAAACATGAGTTCTCATGAGTTCTTTTAGCTTGGCTTCATGTTGTTCCAAACTTTGCCTCTTTTTAGATGCTTTTTATTCTTGACCTCACTTTTTTCGTGGCTCTCTTCCCTTAAAAATGTTTCCGATTCCTGTCCTAAAGTACCTGGAAGCTGTGGAGCCACGGAGAATCTTCTGACAATGGGCTTGGATGGAGCACATAGGGCTCCCCTTTTAGCTCCTGTGCAGGGATTTCCTTCCTGTGGGAATCAAAGTGTTGGGGAAGGGGCTCACCATGAAGCGGGGTTGGGGTGTTGTCAGAGAACCCACAAGTTCTGCACATCTCCATTTCCCCATATCAGCACAGGGTTTCATGACTGTCTTAGTAGTTTGAGGCTGGTGCTAGCCCAGTGCCCTTCACAGTTTTGGTCCCCAGATGCCTGGGCTGGCTGCCTCAGCAGCCTGGAAGCATGCCATGCTTTATTTTCTTTGGAAGTAAACCCAAGCACACCAGGAGGATGTGGGTCAGATCTCCTAGTCTGCGGGTGAAACATAGACACGTGTGCACAAGATCATCTTAATTTTCCACATACTTCAGCTTTCATGGGAATGTCAGTGCCAACCAATATTGAGGTAATATTACCGCATAGATGAAAAAAAACAAAACAGAAAAAAGATAAAACCTCTATGGAAATTTTTGGGAGGGTGCAGATAGTATTCTTTTGCCCAATAAGTCAGACCCTGGGGATATGATAAGTAAACCTTCAAAAATAGTTTTGGGGGAGACTGTCATGCTGCAGGACAAGTCTAAAGAAGTAGTATCTAGTCTGAATCATTGGATAGTTTCATGAAGGTCAGGTGTAAAAATAATTGACATGAACAATTAGGTTGCAGAAATATGCAACCTAGTTATTTTTTTTTTATATATATCATGGCTACTGTGACTGCAAAATTAAGTTTGGACTTGCTCAGCATAACTTGTCATGTGTATGCACCAACATCTGATCTGCGTCAGCAGTTTCAGTAGGTGAGTAATTGGTACAAGCACAGCACTCTCAGTGTGACTTTGAAGAGTGCAGGGTTCTTCCTCAGTCTGTACGTTGAAGCACTACGTGCAGGGTGTGCAGGCTGTACGGACTTGTGCTCCTTTGTGCCTCTGTGGTACTTGTCAGCGCCCCAGCATTCACCGTTCGCTGTGCCACGAGTAGAACTGCTTTCTTGTATCAATGTCTAATTGTTACGGTTGTAAAATAACCTTGGAAACATGAACCCCCCCAAACTGATAAAGGGAGTCCACAGGAAGCACGAGGTAATGCCTCTGAGAAGTAAATTGCCATTTGTTTCACTCAGGGCCCTGTGGAGCCTACACTTCAGCACCCACAGAATTGTCTTGTTTCCAGATTGTCACAACATTCAGTGCTTTGCCCTGGAATATTGCGATTTTGCTGTAGCGTGGTTTGATAAGCCAGCTTGCAGTTGTTCCTCGCTTCTCCAGTTTCACTGCAGAGCAAGGCTAAACATGATCCCGTGGCTGCCTGCCTGGTATTTCAGTGGGCTCTTGGTGGGCACCTGTAGCAGGAGCTTCAACCCCATGGAGAGCAGCACAGCTGCTGGACCAGGGTCGCAAAGAGGTACGGTGCCAAAGCTGCGACTGACGCCTGGCTCTTCTCTCAGCTCTTTCTGTAGGGAAAAGAAACAAGAGCAGAGAAGTTGAGCCAAGCCCCTAGAAAGTGTGGTGAGATGATGTCTTCCCCTGTAAAATCACGAACATGTTGGAAATAATTTTTATATAATCAGTTATGAATTTTATATCAAGAGATTGTTTCAGCTATTTGCTTCAGTTGAATTTGGTATTGTTCTATCTCTGTGTACATAAAGTGGAGGTGTGGGGATGTAGACAAGCACATGTGCATACATATAGATACATATACACACACACACACAAATACATGTATGTATAGACACACACACACACTGCATGAGCAGAACTGCTTAAACCTGCCAGGATGGCAAATTGAGGATAGGTCTTGCAGGCAGCAGCCTGACAGGTCAGCTTTTTGCTGTCTTGCACTTCTCTGCCCTCAGCTAATCAACAGCTGAAAAAGCATCATATTCGCTGTTTTGGTGGTCTTGTTTTTAAATCTGAAAGAATCATAGGCAGAAAGAAGTTATTCCCGCTTCACTGGAGCACCAGTCACCTGAGGGGGATGTGTTTCTAGGGCAGAAAGCCCTGACTTTCATCTGTGAAGGAGTAAGTGGTGTATAGGTGATTACAGTAAAAGCAAGTGAGGTTAGACTAGCAAGGACTTGACATGTGTAGTGCTCTTTAGTATTAACAAGAATAACTTTCTGTTCAGGCCTCACTGTCATAAGAAGTTGAACTTCTTTGTGTATCCAGTCCGTCCACTGGAGTTGTTCTGAACATGTAGCTTGCCTAAATGCAGTATTTTGGGGTATTACAGATACTGTAAGTTGCTTGTAACAAACATTTTCATTGCTCAATGTTGTTGCAGCATGTTCTGTTTCCTAATGATGGGCTGAAGCCTGATGTGCATCATTCTATTGTGTACGCTTTTCAAATTGACCTTGTATTTTGTTTTTATCTTTCTGATTTACCCAACAGGGTGGGCTGAGCGCCCAAGCTTTTGTTCGCATCGAGATAGAAGACATTAATGATAATCACCCTGTTTTTGAACAAGCCACCTATGTGACGAGCATCAGCAGTCACACACAGCCAGGAACAGAGATCATCAATGTTGTTGCCACAGACAGAGATTCGGGAATATATGGCATTGTCACATATGAACTGGTCCCGGGAGAATTTTCTTCTCTTTTCACAGTGGATACATCCACAGGTACCGTATGAGTTTATGATTCGGAAAGGCCATAATTATACAACATGTATCTTTTCCTTGATGATGCTTTTTTTCATTTGGAGTCATGTCATTCAGTTGAAACTTAGATTCTCCAGGAAAATAATTCTAGAGGAAGATGGAGGATTTAGGTTCAACATGAAGCCTTTGCATTCACTGGAATAATGGGAAACATACCACATGCCAGTACAATACAGGACAAGCAGTATGCCATTTATCCACTATTGTCAGCAATAAATCTATTCGTTATTGTAAGAAATAATCAAAACAGTATTTTTTACGGTAATATCTGAATTCCTGAAATATTTAGTCCTTACTTTTGAGGAGCAATAAAAGACTCTTCAAGAAGCTTGTCCTTTCATTTCATCTCTTTGTTTATGTCCTAATCTTCTTTCCCCACACTGTGCTAAATAAATCTCCATTCTGATCACAGTCTTATAATATCCCGCTGTCTCCTTGTTTGACTCAATAGTGAGCTTTGTAAGTGTCTTTTTCTGCCTTTTATTTCCTGATGTGACTCTCTCCTGGTTTCTGGAGAGGGGCTCAATGAAGGAGTGATGATGAGAGCAAGAAAACAATTATGGCAAAAGCAAATCTGGGTGAATTTTTTCAAAGGTTGAATCTCACAGATTGATTTACACAGATCCTATGGCCACAAAGCAGCCCCTATAGACTGCTTTCTAACCTTAAAATAGTTATCAACCTCAGCTGGAAAGAAAATGAGCAGTATATCCACAAATGGCCATGGTTTCTTTAAGGGAGTGGTTAACTAAACTGGAGCTACCATTGTACTTGAGAGCCAGCTCTTGCGCATGAATTTATCCTGATCAATGGTTTTGCTTCCTGCTGGTCATGGCACAGTAGATGATTTTATGTTTTAAGAGTTTTTTGTGCTGTTGTATGTGTATATTAGCTGTTTGGCATATGAAATGTTGCAAGGTTGTATTCTTTCAAAATGGTGCCTGTTTTCACTTTCTTATAAGGTCTGCAAAATATTCTGATGAACAGGAAAAACTAATCTTCTTAGGAAGTTGTCTGCTTGTCTGGGCTATTTCAGATTTTATTTAACTGTGGACTCTTAACTGCTTGTCAAATCAGATTCTTTGGGCCATAATTGATGCCAAAAATATATAGGTCAATCGATAATTAGGGAGCTGGATCTCCCCAGGTATTTAAGTGGTCATTTTAAAGCTGCCCCAGCAGGCTTGTCAGAGAGAGCCCCTGTGGATCATGCTATCAGCGCTGGCTTTGCAGCAGTCCTCTCTTTTGAAAGGTTTCTTCCTCGGATTGTGACCTTTTGGCCTTTTTTTCCAGTTTTGGCACTTTGTATAGGAAAAATGTCATGCTTAATCATGAAGACCATATGAGTTTATAAGTTACTATTATCTTGCAGCTCTATCATGGTATTTTATCAAAGGCAGACCAAATTCAGGGTGAAGTTTCCTGAGGTCATTATTGCTGACATTTCATGATGAGAAGAGCATTTAGGTCAGAGACACTATTCCCAGCATTATAGTGCTTGGAATCTGATTGTGCTTAATCAGATCTCCTGGGTAATTCACGAGGTCTGACTGTGTCTAATTTTAACATTAATATTAATGGTGTGTGTTGGAGTTTTTCCTAAAGAATACACTTTTTCATTTTGTATTTTTCCATGTCTACCTACAACTGTGCTTCTGCTCAGTTGTAGCAACCATTCTGGCAATCAAAATGATTTTTAGACTCTCAGCAAAAAATAAACATTATCAACAAAATAAACATTTAAATTGCCAACTTGTCACACAGGAGTTTTACAATATTTGCAGATTAAATAGCTGCAAAAGCTGTTCAGTATTCAGAGGAAGAAACTCTTTCTCCTTACTTCTTGTTAGGACAGTGACATTTTCCAGTTTCTATCCTGCTAAAGCTGTCTTCATATGCTTTGATACCTGGCCTAATTTAGATGTACCTCTGAAGGTTATGTGAGGGACTTTATCTAGTTATGTGGGCAATGGGCAAGTATGAAAAAATATAGGAATTCTTCAAGAAGTGGATCTCCAAACCCATAAGCCAATCAAGATGATGTTACAGTTTTGGTCTTTGGTTTTCTGATCTTGAGGACCTTCAGTCTGTTACTGATGTGTTCTGCAGTTTTTCTATTCACAGTATGGCACATTCTGTTTTATCTGCTCTTTTCACTATTTGAGGACATAAAAGAAGGCACAGGGATGGCGTTGGAATCTTCCATGGATTTGCCTTATTAAATAATTTTATTTTTTAAAATTATTATTTTTTCCTATTCACAGTATGACACATTCTGTTTTATCTGCTCTTCTCACTATTTGAGGACATAAAAGAAGGCACAGGGATGGCATTTGCATTTTGTGAACAGAGGGCAATGGGCAAGTATGACAAAATATAGGAATTCTTCAGGAGGTGGATCTCCAAACCCGTAAGCCAATCGAGATGATATTACAGTTTTGGTCTTTGGTTTTCTGATGTGTGTTGGTCTGTTACTGATGTGTTCTGCAGTTTTTCTATTCACAGTATGACACATTCTGTTTTATCTGCTCTTCTCACTATTTGAGGACATAAAAGAAGGCACAGGGATGGCATTGGAGTCTTCCATGGATTTGCCTTCTTGATAAATTTTATTTTTTAAAATTATTATTTTTTCTCACTGATAGAGCATTTAGACATGAGGGACGAAAATCAATGCACTACTCTTTTTGACTTATGTTTATTGTAGCCCTTAGTATTATACATGGATAGAGCATTTAGACATGAGGGATGAAAATCAGTGCACAACTCTTTTGCCTTATTATGTTTATTGTAGCCCTTAGTATTATACATAGCAGTGGACACAGATATTTTCAGTATTATGAGATTTAAATTAATTAGTAGTTAACCATTTGTCACATTATAACGCATCAAAATCATATGCAAGATGACACTTTTAGAGTGTTGCACTTAGAATATTCTCTAAAGAGTCACATTTTTGCCCCTACCCTTTTTTATTTTTACAAGAGAAATTGATAAAATAATAAAATAAAAACTGTAACCCAAATTCCTCACTGCTTCTGGCTGTTGCTTTGTTAAAGCAATTGTATGAATGGATCAAGAAAGCTTTTAGCTTTCCATAGTGAACTGTATTCACAGTACAGGATTTCATACCAGCTAGTCAGCCACTCACTTTATAGAATATATCAGTGGTGCTTTTGATATGTAGATATTACGAGGTTGAGCCACATCCAAGCTCCTTGAAGGGGCTCCATCTTTTGTTTCAACTACTGTGACATCTGGTTGTTGTATATTGATAAATTCAATGGGAGAGGGAAGGAAGAGCCTTTCATTGAGCAGATAATTATCCCATTAAAAATTTTTTGAATTCTAAACTGGTATTCGTTTGCTATTTTAACTTTTAAGTAGTGCATTTATTGTTTGTGATATGCTCTTATAAACAATTATTGCATTTCCCTTTGAGAAAAAATTGAAGTATTTTTCATTTGATTGACTCATAAACATTTATTGCATTTCCCTTTGAGAAAAAATTGAAGTATTTTTCATTTGATTGATGATAGTCTATCATCAATCATGATAGATTGATGTATGAAGTATTTTTCATTTGATAGTCTATCATCAATCATGATAGATTGATGTCCACAAAAAAACCCCACTGTAAGAACTGTGTAACTAAAAAAATGTATGGACAGGGAACTGTAAACCAGTTCCTCTGCTAGTTCGTGACTCTTGCTATTATTTGTTTCTAGTGTTGGTGTAAACAACATCTTGGCTTCATTATGTTTCCTTTTGTAGATATCTGATCCATGCATGATCTATGAACAATACTTGTGAATTGGTTAGAACAGAGCAAGTTGAAGAACAGTTTTTCTGGCTAAGAAACTGTTTTAGATATCTTTTCTTATTTTCACATCATTACCTAACAAGCTATCTGAAAGAGTGTATTTACAGTTATGGCTAAGCAGGTAGTTAAAAATGTAAGTTATGGGATACAATCACAAGTGTTGCAGAAAACCTATGCAGTGCTCAGCTTAAAGACTTTGGGATTAACAATTGAATTTCTAAACTTTCATTATGGTATAAACATTAATATTTTCTTTCACTCAAGGGCATATGATTCATTTTTCCATTGATCTTAGTAGAAACCTTCTTGAGAGCAGGATAAAAAGATGTTATCATCTTACTGTAGCCTAGGCTCAAGGAAGCTGTATCAAATGAAAAAAATTAATAATAGTCTTTGAAAATTATTTTATGTCAGTGTGACTTAATCCTATCAGTCTTCAGGTACAATGGTCTGTTCGTATTCAGAGAACAACTCCCCTACCTAGTCACTGTGTACTAAGAAAACTCTCATGAATGCTACGTAAAAGGCAGCAGCCATTGATTTATGTTTATTTGAAAGTATTAGTGATTTAAATCTAGTCTGTATTCTGAGAACAAGTCCCCTTCTCTAGTCACCGTGTACTAAGAAAACTCTCATGAATGCTACGTAAAAGGCAGCAGCCATTGATTTATGTTTATTTGAAAGTATTAGTGATTTAAATCTAGTCTGAAAAGAATGTAGAGAACATAGCATCCACACAGAGTACATTCTAGCAGTACAAACATTTAACTTACCTTCTCTGTTCGTTTCAACTATATAACATACTTAAGCAGATTTTAGTCCAGCATCTTGCCTTTTTAATAGTGCCTGTTATTGGATGTGAAAACAGGGGCTAAGTGTAGAGCTTGTGCAGAACAGTCCCTCCACTGATATATCTAATATATTTTTCTTGTTTTGTCAGTGTGCAGCTTAGTGCTGTACTGCTTCCATTACTGTACTCTGTAAATGCATTTAATGTCAAACTGACTTAAAATAAACTTTTTGATTTGGTTCAGAGTACCAGAACAGATTCATTCCAGTTAAGAATGTTGACAAGTTTTGTTTTATTGAAGAACATTGCAATATTGTTTAGCAGTCACATCTTAGGGGTTTTTCATTG